TTTTTTTTGTTTTTTTTTTTTGCGTTGCCCATTCACTATTTGCTGTCGTAAGCAGCAGAGTCGGGAAACAATCTCATTTCGCCGTGGATCATACCTCGATCGCCAAGCTAATGTCGAGACTATTGTAAGATTGGCAAATAGACGTTTGTTTCGATTCACTGGCAAGATTCCATGCAGAAGAATGATCATTTGTATTCAAGCAATCTAGTGGAGATGTTCTTCTATCTTGGCACACGTATACATATCGGTCTTGATGAGTCGCTGACTAGCTATGGCGCGAGCGCGCATAGCAAAGTTGCACATGTGGCTTAGCCGCGAGTAGCAAGCAGAGGTCTGAAGCCAAAGATGATGCCCTCGGTGCCTGGTGGGATGGATTTTTCCCAGTTGGTGATGGTCATGCTGCTGAGGCCGAATCCTTCATGCTTGACGAGGGTATGATTTCCCGCGTTGACTCCCTTTCCGTACGTGCCATAGGTCTTGTCCTTGTTGGAGAAGAAGGTCAACTGGCCGAGCTTTTGTCCGTACCGGGCATCAATGGACTGGATGTACTCGTCAAAGGCCAAATTGGCCATGGCCTCTACGCCGCCGTTGGCATCTCCAAACAGATGGCCCCACTGGCCGCCGTACTGCACCTGCAGTGCGTCAATGCCATCCCAATGACGGGTCTTGATGGCGGTAATGTTGGCCTGGCGGGGCTTGATGGGAGGAGGCGTCTTGATGTTCCAGGGGGCGTTCTTGGTGTAGCGGCCGTACGGGCCCGAAAAGATTTCGCGGTCGAGCGCAAGCTTGGCCGAGTCGGGCATCTCCTTACCCGCCAGGTACGGCCAGAACTCAGCATAGGTGAGCACGTGCTTGATCATTTCGGCGTCGTAGTCGGACAGGGCGTTGAAGTGCAGAGCCTCGGCCGCACCCCTGTCCCCGGAATACCAGTTGGCAGTGTAGGGCTTGACCAGCCCGCGACCCTTTTGGTAGTACTCCTTGACGTAGCCAGTATACGTCATCGTTGCGCGCTTGGTGAGGGCCGTGGGCTTGGACAGGGTCTCAAGCGCCTCCCTCCAGGTGTCGAGAAGCACCTGGTCCCAGCCGGCGGCCTCGCCAGCGGCGATGCACTCCTTGAGGGCGTCCACCTGCGATGTCTCGTCTCGGCTGCGGAGGGCGCGGACGCGCTTGGAGGAGGACATGGTGAGCTCGTCAAAATCATGCTGCAGGTTATGGCTGATGTAGTCCTGGGTGAATCCCCAGGCCTCTCCGTTGCGGATGCCGTCAGCCAGGAGCGTGAGGTGCATGCTGGCGGCCTGGGTGAAGAGCGGGAGAGCGGCCACAGCATAGTCCTCACCCTGAAACTCGGGAATGGTTGCTTGAAGGACTGCCAAAAAGGCAGTGTGGTGGGTGCGCAGAATCTCGCCCTGCCTGGCCTTGTTGTCTCCCGTGGCCTTTTCAAAGTCGTGGAAGACGCGGGTAAAGGCCTTCATATTGTTGGCAAAGCCCTTGACCTTTTGGCCTAGCAGCTTCACCTGGCTGTCCTTTAACTTTTCGCCAATCAAGGCCTCAATCCGCGGGCGCACGCTGTTCCAGACGGCATTGGGATCCTCCTTGGTGGGAAACAGGACGGCGCCGAGAAGACCACACATGCTGCCCAGGAGAGGTCCAGCGCCGGGAATCAGACCGACGCCGATGGCAAAGACGGAAAAGAGGTAAGAGTATATGGCGTTGCCGTCAGAGGCCGAAATGGACACACCACCTTTGGCAGCGTCGAACGCGGCGCCGGCGAGTTTGAGGGCAGCTTCATCGTCAAACTTGAGATCAGACATTTTTGTAAAGTATTTGGAAAAGAGGGGGTTTTTTGTCTTTGAAGAAAGATTGTGAGATAGGAGAGTAAAGATTGTGAGTTTGCTTTTGTAGTGAGCGGTAGACTGTTGCTTTGGAGTGAAGAATCATTTTCAACAAGTCGAGAGACCAGGCCTTTTATAAGTGTTTGTTCAGGAGCAACTCCTCGTGAGAATATCATACGGCCATATTGTTGCTCGCTGAATCATTCCACATTGTTGTCCGGCATGACCGTATCATGATGCGATGCGTAAACAGCGTGTACCGTGAGGACCGTTCCGGACCTCGTTCAGTTTCACTGCCGAATGTATACATCCGGCATCATTAACCAGACCTCCATATTTTCTGCCAGCTTCCTGACTCGATTCAGTTCTGGAATAGGCAGGTGTCTGTGCCTACCCGGATGCGCTCAGCCCTGCAGCCTTGCGTTTGCTTTCGCCTTCTTGGGCTGAGCGACGCAGGGACGTCTTTCACAGTGGCGCAAGCAAAAGACTGGCGAAGAAAAGGCTTCGAATCGCGTACTAGTCCGGGCCGATTATCCGCAACAAGGAAGAGATGGGATGGAATATACTTTCTTGCAGTGAATGCGCAGCATGCGTACGACATTGCCCCTATAGTAATCGGGCTATCAACATGACAGGTTTAGGGCCAACTACCAAGCATATGCTAAACATAATTCTCTTTGCGTTGTCTAATACGACACTAACCATTTTTGGGCCTATGCAACAATAATCTAGCTATTTTACGAATTCAATCACCCCATCATCGTTTGATTAAGGCTGATTCAACTTTACTATCAGCCCGGGCACCCCCCACCCCGGCATCCCCCAGGCACCGCCCGGGCACCCCCCCGGGCACCCCCCCTGGGCACCCCCCGGGTCCCCCCGGTCCCCCCGGCCCCCCCGGCATTGGCGCCAGGCCATGTGACTTAATATCAATGTGCTCTTATTATCAGCGACCAAATACGTTTGCTCGCCGATTAGTTAGATCCGACGTACCTCGGAACGTACCTGACTTCCATAAAGAGCTCTCTGGTGTTGCTATTTAAGAGTTCTTAGCTCTATTCCATGAGTAATTAGCTCAAGGCGAACTAAACTGTCATCAAAAATATAGTAAGGCGCGTTTCAATGCCGTCCGTTTAGCTGATGCTAGTATTCTTATGCATCGTTATCTGCCTACGTAGATCGCCTTGTCACAACAACCCTAATAATCGCATCCGCGGTTCACCCAAGTAGCCAACCTCTCGCAAAATTCCGGCGCTTCTCGTGTAAAACAGATCTTTTGCGCCTTGGTACTACTGCAAGGGGCCAACTCAAGCAACCTTCCGTATTAATCACAATCGCCGGAGACTAGTCCTTGCGCGACTCATTCTCACCCTGACTTCTGCAACAGCGATCCGGTCCACGTGGGGTAATTAGAGATGCATAGAAGATTAGAACACAGTTCTAGAAGGGGGAAATACGGCCATTGTGGAGTTTCGATTCCCCAAAAAAAAATCGTTCTTGCATGACTCTACATCGAACTATGGTCTATTTCAGGGCCAGTCAAAGTGGCTTGGCCTCTGTAGTTTCCTCGGCAGATAGATAGCCCTTGTGGCGACGGCTGCGCCCCTGGCGGGCCGGACCAAGTCCCGAATTAGAACTTGTGGCAGACCCCCCACGGCATAATGGTTTGCGGCGGGTAACTATAGTCATGCTCCACTCACCGTGCCTTGTCTGTTGGTCCGCGGAAGCCATGTAAAGCATACATACGCCATGACCAAGGCCCAAAAGAAAAATCGTTGCAAGAAAGAGAAAAAGAAAATTTTCATTTTTTTCTTAAATTAAAATAAAAAATCGCTCGATTGATGGTGCTCTCATGGCAAATCGAAGTCCTATTTTTGTGGCGGATGAAGCTGACAGCACCCCGTTCTGGGTGGGGCCAGACACGAAAGTCGGCCGGCCAATCGGCTAACAAACCCGCCAATGCCTGCCGCGAGGCTGGTCAAGTCACCTTTCCAGCTCGTGCATGGACTGACTGACTTACAAAAACTTGCTGCTATATTATTTACCAACTCATCGCGACAAGTTTATTGCTCGCACTGGCCATAACCTCTAAGTCTGTGCATTTTCATCTACATCTCATTCGTTGTCAATTCGTGATAGCCCACCAAGCATCCTGTTCCAGCGGCACAATCAGGCCGGGCAGGGCATGTTCGTATAAACAAAAATAAGCTACTTGCGCATTGAAGCTGTCTTGAATCTAGCTGTAATTGGGATAAAGCTAAAACACTTGTATTGTTGGGTGAGTCGCGATATCAAGGTTCTGGGTTGGGGCGTTCTTATGAAATTAAGTCTGGATTAAGAGCGTGAGCGTCATGAACAAGTACCCTGATAGCCCGAGAGGAATAAGCTTAGTTTCCCTTTATGCATGATGAGTCCCTGAAACCTCCAGACCGCCAGTCATCACGACATATCACGACTTGGGGTACTTTCTTACATCAGCACACAATAACGATGGTAGCCTTTATATCAGCACTGCTTGCCCTGATTTGAATACCACCTTGCGTCTTCCAAAACCAGAATATAACCATGAGGTACAAGCAGGCTTTTCAGCATCGTATCTTATGCTCCTGTCTTCTCTTTCCAAACACTACCACTACTCAAATAAGAGCAAGCCATTCATTGCCGGCCACAAGAAGCTACAAGCTGTCGATGAGCAGACAAACATTTCTGTCGTTTTCAGGAGTCCCAGCTATTCTATCGGAGCGGCGCTATATTCTTGAATAGTCGACCCCTGTCAACGGCCAGCGCTACAGAGTTTTGAATCGTGCAATGCAACAGCAGCCAGTATGATGGCCAGTACAAGAGCCGGTACAAGAGCCGGTACAGCTAGTATAGTAGCTCATAGTAATGAATCTTTTTTTTTTTTTTGGAAAAAGCCATACTAAGATCTAAGGGAAATGTAGATATATAGTGGATTTTTTCTTTCTTCTCTTCCAGTTATATAAGACGCCCGTATTCAAAAGGTACTCTATTAACTAGGGCTAGATTATAATTAGAAAAAAAAAAAAAAAGTCCACACGAGTCACGAGTCACTAGTACTATGAAAAAAAAAAAGAAGAGAAAAACTAAAAGATCACGGCATAAAAGAGGAAATAATGTACGACGTTGCAGCCGCGGCCTTTGACCAGCTGGCCAAAGGGTATTTCAACGCTCGCTATCAGAGTCACGCGGTATAGCGGTCAAGCTGGGCTGTGCGCTTCACAAAGAGCTCGGCAATTGAATGCATCAGAGCAATTTTTTCAGCCATGATATCAACACAATTCTTTTCTTATATCATCTACCAGCGGGTGGTTGGCCAGGATCGTCGGCCCTCGGCCCTTTGCTAGCAGCGCAGGGCTGGTTAGCAAGCATCGAATGAATCGTGTTTTTCTTTGGGGGCGCTGGGCGGCCCCTGCTTTGGCACTTGAATGGAACCCCGCCGGAATCTCGGCTGATGAGTGGCATGTTTTTGAAAGTGAAAATAAAAAAAGAAAATTCAAAGGGGCGATTACCGTTGTAACGAAGAAAAGGAGCAATCGCCGCTGTAAAGATCAGAAGCCGACAAAAAATGCGACTCGGGACGTCATCATATAAGGTAGATACAAGAATGGCACGCAGTTGCGACTAAATTTACGATTTTGTGAACGAGTAGTACGTACGTGTCACTTGCTGAGTCATCAATTGGCTTGCCAGCCCACGTCTTTCGCTTTGTTTGCATCCTATCTAACTTGCCAGTGATCAAGATAGACTTGGAGCATACTAAAATCACACCAAGGCAGGCCGCAAGCTCGCAGATTCGTCATAGCCTCCCACAGAATACAGGCTGATTGCCCAAGTCTCCAGAATGGGGTTACCCTACCAGGAGCATCGCCAGCCACATTGTGCCAAATCGCCCACAAGTCTGGGGTAAGGAGCCCCCTCCCCACAAGCGTCATGCGAACTAAACTAAAAGAATGAAAAAGCTGCTTGTCCCAGATTGGCAGCTGGAATGAAGTAATTTGTTTTCGACTTTCAAGTTTCGCCTCGAAAGGACCATTTCTGGGAGTCACTGCGAACCAGGGCACAACAAAAACAATAGCCGATGCTAAAGCCAGCTTCAGCCCCGAATGCACAAGCAAAAGCCGGCCTCCACTAATTAACATGCAAATTCCCAATCTTTTCCCCTCATTATGGGCGTTTTCCCCTCACTACGGGCGAGGGCCGAGCGGATGACCGACCCGTCTGGGGCAGCTCCAAGGAGCAACTCGGCCAATTATTAGCTGCACCACGGCGTCTCCGCCTTTTTCGCAGCGGCACTCCTCTATGCTGCATCATGACAGCCACGGCTAGCTTCTCTAGGCGATGGTCTATTGTTTACTTCTCACAAGCTCATGTCTTGATGGGGAATGTCCCATTGTCGGACCGAGATCCTTTTTCTTTTCTTGGCTCTGCCCGGGAATTGAGTAAAGAATATAAGAAATTGTCCTCTCCCCCGGACCTCTGACCCTCTCTCTCACTGCAACTGCAAATTCCATTTCAATTGTTGCAATGAGATTCTGGAAAAGCTTGTTACTGTCGGGGCTGGCCTCTGCCGTTAGCGTCCTCTCGCGAGAGAATACCAGCAACAGCGCGCTCGAGCAGTGCCCCGGCTACACAGCCTCCAACGTTCAGACGACAGACACGGGCTTAACGGCGGAGCTGTCTCTCGCTGGCAAAGCATGCAACACCTACGGCGACGATCTCAAGGACCTGATTCTCCAAGTCACCTACGAGACTGGTAAGAAAACTCCCGCACCTTTGCCCGCCCCCATTGAACTGACCTGCGATGCAAAGACAACCGTCTACACGTCAAGATTCAGGATGCCGGCAATCAAGTCTACCAAGTGCCCGAATCCGTCTTTGCGCGGTCATCAGCTACGTCGTCCGCATCAGCGAGCCATCTCCAATTCTCGCACGCGGCCTCGCCATTCTCCTTTACCGTTTTCCGGCGCGACACGGGCGAGGTGCTGTTCGACACTTCGGCCGCGCCGCTCGTCTTTGAGACGCAATACCTGCGGCTGCGCACCGCCCTGCCGCGCGATCCGTACCTGTACGGCCTCGGCGAGCACTCGGACCCGTTCCGCCTCAACACCACGGGATACGTCCGCACGCTCTGGAACCAGGACAGCTACGGCATCCCCAACGGCGCCAACCTCTATGGCGCGCACCCGTTTTACCTCGAGCAGCGCAGCAGCGGCGCCCATGGCGTCTTGCTGCTAAACTCCAATGGCATGGACATTCTGATCGACAAGGACCATGAGTCTGGCCAGCAGTACCTTGAGTACAACACGCTCGGCGGTGTGCTGGATTTCTACTTTTTCGCCGGCTCCAGCCCCGTCGACGTGGCTAGACAGTACGGCGCGCTGGCCGGCACGCCCGCCATGCCGCCGTACTGGGGTCTCGGCTACCACAACTGCCGCTACGGCTACCGCGACGCCTTTGAAGTCGCCGAGGTGGTGCACAACTACAGCGTCGCGACCATGTGGACCGACATTGATTACATGGACCGCCGCCGCGTCTTCTCCCTCGACCCGGAGCGCTACCCGCTCGCCTCGATGCGCGCGCTCGTCTCGCATCTGCACCATCATGATCAGCACTACGTCGTCATGGTCGACCCGGCCGTCGCGTATCAGGACTACTCGCCGCTGCACCGCGGCATCGAGCAGAATGCATTCTTGCTCCGCGAAAACGGCTCCGCCTGGCTCGGTGTTGTGTGGCCCGGCGTCACCGTTTTTCCGGACTGGTTCGCCGAGACAGTCGATGGGTACTGGAAGAATGAATTCAAGCTCTTCTTTGACAAGGACGCTGGCGTGGATATTGACGCCCTCTGGATCGACATGAACGAGCCCAGCAACTTTCCTTGCAACTTTCCCTGCGATGATCCTTACGCGGCCGCCGAGGGCTACCCGCCGCCCGCACCGCCCGTCCGCGACACACCCCGGTCCCTTCCTGGCTGGCCGTGCGAGTTCCAGATCGGCGGCTGCGGCAACAGCAGCAAGCGCAGCAACAACATCAACGCCGGAGCCACCAACCCCAATGTCGCGCCTGCCATTCGAAGCAACTCCCTGATCCTCCCAGTCCGCGCCGCCGCTGCTGCCGGCGATCAAAAGGGTCTTCCCAATCGCGACCTTCTCTTCCCCAAGTACGCCATCCACAACAAGGCCGCATACAGGGACGACTGGAACGCCGACCACGGCGGCATCTCCAATCACACCGTCAACACCGACGTCATGCACCAAAACGGGCTCGCCATGTACGACACACACAACCTGTACGGCGCGCTCATGTCCCTCGCCTCTCACCGGGCCATGCTCGCGCGCCGTCCCGGCCTCCGCCCACTCATCATCACCCGGAGCACCTTTCCTGGCGCGGGCGCCCACGTAGGTCACTGGCTCGGCGACAACCTCTCCACGTGGCAAAAGTACCGCGAGTCCATCCGCGGCATGCTCGCCTTTACCGCGCTCTTCCAGTTCAACATGGTCGGCTCCGACGTGTGCGGCTTTGGCGGCAACACCACCGAGGAGCTGTGCGCGCGGTGGGCAAGCCTCGGCGCCTTTTACAGCTTCTACCGCAACCATAACGCGTACGGCACCGCCGCGCAGGAATTCTACATTTGGGAGAGCGTTGCTGCCGCGGCGCGTAAAGCCATTGATATCCGGTACCGACTCATGGACTACTTTTACACGGCCATGTGGCGTGCTAGCGAGGACGGCACCCCAAGCATCTCGCCCGTCTTTTACCACTACCCTGACGATCAGGCCGCGTGGGCGCTGGAGCTGCAATTCTTTTACGGCCCGGCCATCATGGTCGCGCCCGTGACGGAAGAGAGCGCCACCAGCGTCAACGTGTACATTCCCGCGGGAGCCACCTTTTACGACTGGTACACGCATCAAGCCATCCGTGGTAACAACGACGGCGGCCGCACTCACACATTTTCCAATGTCGACGTCACTACGATTCCGCTGCTCATCCGCGGGGGCGTCATTGTCCCGCTGCGCGCCGCATCGGCCAATACCACGACGGAGCTGCGCACGCGCGCCTTTGAGCTGCTCGTGCCGCTTGACGAGCGCGGACGCGCCGAGGGCGAGCTATACGTTGATGACGGCGTGTCGGTGGCGCAAAAGGCGGGCGGCGTGACGGATATTCAGTTTGTTTACCAAGAGGGCGTGCTGACTATCAATGGCACGTTTGCGGTGGATGATGCGCTCCCGCGGATCGTCAAGGTGACAGTGCTGGGCGAAGACTGCAAGACAAAGAGGGCAGCGGAAAAGGGTGCGGCAGAGGAGGGCAAGAGGAGTCGGACAGTCAAGGTGGACATTTCACTCAACGAGGCGAGCACCACAAAGGTTTAATTATTCAGTAGTTGGTAGTTGAAGTACACACAATACAAGGAAATGTACATACGTCTCGACGATATTATGAGCATGGGGTATTGTAGTATATGCATAGTGGACGAATGTGAGGTGTCCAATGTCTAACAATGTAAATGGCAGTGCTGTAGAATACACTCGAGCCTCTGTCTATATACCTCATTGTAATGACGCAAAACTAATAATTCATACGGCAAGACCAGGCCGCTTAACAATATATTCAGTTGAAAAAAGAAAATCCAAAAGCAGACAAAAAGAAAAAAATCTTTCCCAACCGCTCCAATGTAAATGCGTAATGAGGGCGATAGTAATTCGACAGATTCCAACCGATGGTAGGCGTACAATAAACAAGATATATGCAGTATAACATGAAAAAGAGGGGAATTTGCGTAACAACTTTTCAAGAGTGTAGTAGTCGCTCAAGATGGTTTGATGAGTATAATCGCCGAAATCACTGTTGGCGGGTTCGGCATTCGGTCATGGAACAATCGGTCATGCGGCAATCGGTCATGCGGCAAATCACTCTGGTGGCGGATTCGGCATTCGGTCATGCGGCGGTGGGTGAGGAGGAAGCGGCGGAAGTGGCGGAAGTGACCGCACACCCCACGGCTGCGACGACTCGTCCGGTGGTGGCAGTGCCGAGCTCTGCATAGATTGAAGCTGCGATTCGTGCGTTTCCGGCACGCCTTGACTCGCCGACTGGCTTGGACCACCACCGCCGCTGCCCAGCATCTGGCAGAGTTTGTATGTGCCTTCGTCGATGCGTTCAACAATGCCTTCGTCGAGGGCATACCGCAAGAGCATCTCGTCTACTCCGAGATTATCGCCTTCGCCTTTTTCCATGTGCCGACCAACGTGCTCTGTCCACTCATCCCAGGCAGTCGGGCCTTCAAAGCTATTTGCGCAGCCAGGCTTGGGGCAGCTCGATCGCTGAGGCGCATGCCTCCGCTGTATGAGGCACGTCTGCTGCATCTCTCGAACGTAGCTTTCCCATTCAGACTGCTGATGGCCGTTGTCGCCTTTAGCGAGGGCGCGCTTGACCTCGAGCGGGGCGTGCATGCGGCGAAGGTGCTGCGTGAAAAGATCCTTTCGGTTAAACTCGTTGCCTTTTCCATCGACCGTGGTGTGCGAGCAGATGGAGCAGCGATAGTACTGCAAGCAAAGATGCTGCGAGGCAATATGGCGCTTCCACTCGTTTTTGGAACCAAACGTGCTGTAGCATCCTGCAAAGTAAAAGGCGCAAGGAAATGGACGAGTATGCGCTGCGGCAATATGTTTTCTCAGGGACGAAGAGTCCTTAAACGGCGCATGGCTGCAATGGGCGCATCGAATGTCGGGTTTGCCAAGCATGCGCCGCATCCTGGCACCAGCAGACCCTGTGCCGCTGTCCAGCACGGGCATCGATTCTGAGCGAGTCAAGTTGCGGAAACCCGGGTGCAGCGTTGGGATAGGAACAGGCGGAGCAGCGCGCTGGGGAGAAGTGTTGGCAGAAGCGTCACCACTGCGGTGGCGGACGTGGCTGAGGGCCTTGAGCTGCTCAGCAGCTTCCTGCATCTCTGCAGAATCTGCACCCTGGGCCTTTGGTTTCATTCCTAGTCCGCCAGCAGCCAGCGACTGATACAATCTAGCGGTTGGGCTCATTTGGCCATCGGACTGTTCGCCTTTGACAGAATATCCTGGTGCAGGCCACTGGGCAGCCGAGGTTCGACGAGAAGTCGCACTTGTTGGGGTGGACACGGGTGCCAGTCTTGTTGTCGTCATTGTTTCGGCGGTTGCGGCGGATGCTCCAATCATCTTGTCGTAGAGAGAAACCATGTTGCGCGAGGTGATGCTGCCGAGATAGTACCAAATCTTGTCGTGTTGAACATTAGCCCAAAGAGAGGTGGGCATCGATATGAGCAGCACCGTGGGAGGACCCAAGAACATGCCCTCGACGGTGATTTGCGCGGCCAAGGGCGGTGTATTTCGTAACCAGCTATGGAATGCCGACATGTCCGGACTGGCGTCCCCAACAAATGTAGTGCACACCAGTACACGAGCTTCATCGAAATTCAAGCTAGGCGTCGGATCTTGGGGGAGAGGAGCATCTCGAGGGCGGGCAGATCCTGGCGCGGCGGCGACATCGGAGGGCTCTGTCAATGGAGCAAGTTCTATATGCTTACTTTGATCAGGCGTCATGGTAAAAAATTGGGGCTCTGAAGCGGGCGAAGAAAATCGAGGCGATGAGCTGGAGTGGGCGTTGGAAGCAGTCTTGATCTCGTGGCAAAGCTGCTGTGCGGTAAAGGAAGGAGCGCGGCTCAGCTGGCGCAAGGCTGTGGTAAGACAAGGCGAGAAATAGGCGCGGGAAGCGGCCGATGGATGGCGGGCTGATTCGGGAGAGCAGGCGGCGATGACCTGCTTGAGGCCGTGACTGGAGGCGATGGAGTCGGGAACGGCGCACGTGTCAAGCAATAAAAGGATGTCGGATTGGGCGTCTTCGAAGAGGCAGCGGACTCCGTCCCATCTCAACCTGGCTGAGTGGTCCTGAGGAGAGCTATCGGATGGTTAGAGCTATGAATTTGAGGAAAGGTGAATTTTGCGTCTTGCTGTGAGAAGTCAAGATGACGTACCAAGCCCAGTAAAGTTGGCCATCGGAGCCAACATAGCCATGACCGGAATAATAAATGATGAGTAGCTGATCTGGTCGGGCATGCTCGAGAAAAGAGGCCATCTGCATGCCGAGTTTTATGCTTGGGTTTGCGACGGTGGGAATCTGCCATGTTTGGGTGTGATAACGGTAATCAGTGTCCAAAACTTGCTGCAGGGCGCGAATGTTATCAATGGCGGCAGCGTCATCTTGCCAACCCAAGAGAAGGACCGAGACGTTTGTGTAAGCGGCGCGGGAATGCGCAGCTTGACGGTTGATGAGAATGGCAGCATCGTGCAGATGACGGGCAAAGGCCTCAAACTCGTGGCGTTGGCTGTGATGAGGCGCATCAGGAACTATGTGAGTGGGATGAGGCTAGAGAATTGTCAGCCGAGTCTGGCAAGGTTTTGGTAGGGAGGGTGACGAGGCTGACGTAGGGAACCGGATGGGGAGGACGGGGCGGTAGGGCTTCCAAGACGTACTAGCTTCTGAGAATAGGACGCAGAGTGAGCGTCGGGAGGAGACGACGCAGAGGCATTGAGCTTTGGGGCAAGCTTACGCCTCTTGCCAGCAGGTTCCATGGGATGGAAGCGCAGCCGTGATGAGCAGGCTGAGGAGCTCGGCAGAGAAGGCAAACGGCAGGCTGGCGAGAGCCCAGCAGGAGCCGGGGCCGGGTAAGGCGGAGGACCGGGCTGAGAAGCAGTTGCAGTTGCAAAGGCGGAAGGCGGACGGCGGTCGGGCGATTCGGCTGCGACGAGGATCGTCTTGGGTGGTGTGTTATATCGGCGGGATCAGGTGAGGTACGAGGCCGTGGGATCGGCGGAAGAGTTCATTGCAAACAGAAGAGCGTTTGTTTGGAAGAAGCGAAAGGCTGACCGGAGTGGATTAAAAAAAAAAGAAGGCGAAGGCGGAAAAATCGGAGACACCGGGAGAAGAGAAGAAGATTTAAAAAAACGAAATGACAAGATTCGGACCAGTGACGACGAAATGAGTTGAAGGAATAAATGGACAAGGGACCGGGATAAAGGGCGTGGGTGAAGAAGCGGCCGTCCCGCGGAGCCAAGGCAAGAAGAGGCCAAGTACGAGTGTACTGTACTGAGTGAGTAGAGTCACCAGGTCGGAGCAGAGCAGACACGTCGAGCAGGTAGTTTGGTAGTTTGGCGCAGAGTAGGAAGGAGGCAGGTTAATAGGTAGGCTGCGGCGGTGCTTTGAAGAGGTGTGTGATGTATGGAGTGTGATGTATGGAGTGTGTTGTATGGGTGTGTGATGGGTGTGTGTGTGTGGTGCGTGGTGCGTGTTGCGTGGTGCGTGGTGCGTGGTATGTGGTGCTTTCGGTATGGCAAGTTTTGGTACGGTATAAGATGAATAATGGAGGTACTGGTAAGGCTGCAACGCAATGCAACCGAGACAGACAATGGGTGGCGGCGGCGGCAAGCCAGCCGAAGATGGCAGGCCAAACAAGAGGAGGAGAGGCGGGCAAAAGGGAGTTTGAAAGTTGCTGCGCGCCCGCCCGTCCGCCCACGGAGCAGATGTGGCAAAGCGGTTGTTTTCGAAAAAGAGGTTGGGCGAAGAAGAAATCGAGGCAAAAGGAACGATGCAAAGAAATGGTTTGATGAGGGAAGCACAACGTGTAAAGCTAAAAAGCATCCACGGCACCAAATAGTAAATCCGGCGAGGCGAGGCGAGGCACCGCGTAATCTGGAGAACGACAGAGACCTAATAAAGAAAAAAGACGAATAAAAAAATTAAGAATAAAAATAAATAAAAGAGGAAAAATTCCATCACGGCATGGGGCAAGTTTTAACTAAGCCAAGGCTGCCATTTTAGCTGGGGACTTGGGGCGGGCTGCTGCTGCAAGGTTGGGAATAAGAGTCACCTTACCAACAAGTACCTTTTTATAGCACAATACCAGAATTAGGTACATTTCTTTCAACAGCAACTAAATTTACAGGGCCACAACAAGGGCGTGTGCGAGCTTCCGGGGTGTGTGTCAACGCCCATTTCATTTTTGTATGGGCAGAATAGGTACCTGAAAAAAGGCCTGACGAAGCAAAGCCCGGGTTTTTCTTCCTTTATTGTTAGGCACCGCGTGGCAGCTGCATGCAAGTGCGGGCGAGGCGAGCCAAGGGAAAAAAAAACCAGTAGGAATGGGAAATATTTACAGGCACGGCACAAGGCAGGCTGGTGGTACCTACCGTACCTACCGACCCAACTACATCATACCTACCTACCTACCTACAAGCATGTGCCGACAGGCTGCGGCGGCACGAGGCTGCATGTTTGGACCATGGCACGCACATGTTATTACCGCTATTTGCTGCACACCTCTTTTCTGATTCCAACGTTTGGTGGTGGTTGGAAGAGAAGGGCAAGAGAAAATTGATACCTGACACCCCTCTCTCCCAAGACAAGTTATTCCCCAGCAACCCAGCTGGCTCGGTATTCTCGTTGCCAAATCATATTAGCCCATATTGCTGGAGGGATCCGCCAGGCCAGCCTAGAGAGGGGCGCGGCGCCGGTGGCTCAGCTCACTTGGTCTCAAGTGGACAAGTTTAGTTTGCTAATAAAGATGGTTAATAGGCCGCCTTGGCCGTGCCATAGTTAGGACTTTGAGCTCATCTATGCAACTCCGTACGCTAACCAAGGCCTACCTATTCATCTGCAAGGAAATTAAAAAAAAAAAAAAAAAAAGTCTGTGGCCTAGATGACGAACAAGGCTAAGCCGTTTTTGATCGTAAACCCCTGTACGTCTGAAATACCACGCTCAACCGTCGCGGGCCAAGGCAATTCAACCCGCACTCGGAAACCTTGCTCATCAACCTTTCTCTCCCGCTTTCCAGTACCCCATATGCCGTCCAACCGTCCCAGCTGAGTTGGAATCTTGCGCTGTTATTTTGACTTTCTTTTTTTTTGTTCTCTTTTTGTCCTTTTTTTTTTTTTGTGTGTGCTTTCCTCGCCTCGCCCCGTTTGCACCTCATCTCGCTTCCAACGGCATCTTCCGCTTACATTATCCATACACGACAACTAACCAACTAATATTCAGCACACACATACACACACACATATCAATACGCACACACTAATGACACCGCACACACCAAAACCCTACTAATGCTACCGCATCTCAGTCTTGACACGCCAGTGGGGAACTGGCACGCGGCATCGGCAGTCAACCCTGCAGGAGCACCTTTTTATTTTATTTTTTTATTCTTCTAATATACTTCTTTCCCACTAGCACCGTATTCCCACAACACGACGGCCCAGCGCCTACTGGCCACCGCCGAGGCATCAGCCGTCTCATCTTTAGCACCGCCCAGTACAAACACCGAGAACGACACGAGATGTGACCCGTCCTCTGCATCTTGTATCGCTACAAGAATAGATTGTTGCCCTCTCCTTCGCCTTGTTTCATTTACCAAATACAGACAAAACGCCTCTTTTGTTTTAACCCTGGCGGGTCAGTCAATCCCAGCAATCCTAGCAACCCTACCTATGTAGCCTCTTTCCACTGTGCCACTCAAGGCTTCCAAGCCTCGCGTTGCCTGGCCTTGTCAGCCTCGTCAAACTCAAGAGTGGTGATTACGTTGACACGCGGCTTCGCTCTAGCCTTCTTCCAGATTATGGCTTTGCTTTTTTTAGCGGCTGCGTGGCGCTGGGCTGCCCTTCAGCCTCCTACCACCCCCGACTTTTTCGTAATTGGGAAGGGCAAGCCTTGTCAACCGACTTTCAACTCCTCTGTGAACCCCTTGGACCAACCAGAAACTCTGCCTTGTATTGGCCAGTCTTGTCTTTCCATTCAACGACTTATCAGGTATCAGTACTTCTATTCGTCCTTGGGGCTTGCAGTTTTGTGGGTTCATCTTGCTCAAAAAAAAAAATTATTCATCACATTTACTTTCTTTGCCGCTTTCTTCATTTACGATGCCAGCTGGCCTCTCCTCCTCTTCAACCCCCCACTAGTCAACTAGCACAATGCCTTACCAAACGTGACACCAACCAGCATCCGTCGCATTACTCGCCACCATGAGGCCACCGCAGCTCGACCGCTTCCCCTGCGCAATCAAGCAATCTCGCGACGAATCACTAAATCCCCAAGGCCTCAAGTGGCAAAGCTTAGCTCCGATCCCCGCTCAACCCGCTTCAGCCTGCAGCGTATATTTTGCCCCTTGCGGCTGGTCCAGCCGGGGAGGGGAGAGGCGCTATCTGTTGCGCGCCGCATCGCATGCGAGACGGGATCGAAAGCCCACTCCCGCAGCAATCAGGTTTCTTTTCACAAGCATGTATTGTACCTGCAGGCTAAATTTTTTTCAGCCCTGAGCTGCTGAAGGCTGCAGCAAAAACGAAGCGGCAGAGCTGCATCAAACAGGGAACCCCAGTAAGGGTCGGCCTTGTGCTAGCGAAAACTACCAGACGGCCTATCACGAGCACGTCCAAAGCCAAGACAAGCTTTGACTAAACCACACTAAATCTTCGCCTTGACCAATCTTCGACTGTGAAGAAGAAAAACTGATACCAATCATTCAGCTACATTCAACCAGATAAAAGATTCGTCAATTACAACCCAAGGCCCGTGCCAAAGCAAGTGGCAAAGTGTCAGGCTGGCGAAAGCAGGGGACAAGGGTCGATAGAATTCTTGACAAGACAGATTATCCTGGCCGTAATCTAGGCCGGCTTTTCCGTCGTCGAATCGATCCACCCGAGCTTAGTTGTTTTGAAACTCTGAGACTCTTCAGGCTGTTGGCGACAACCGCTAAAGGACTTAGCCGCGCCAGGATCACCATGCTCTTCAATTGTCTACTTGAAACACGTGGGATGTTTTTTTACCAGTCCAAGTAACCAATTGTACAAGGATCAAACGCCACCGGTGTGAAAGTCGGTCACTAGGCCGCTTATCAATATATAGTCTGTGACGCTGCGGATACGGCCATGACAGTCTCGACAAGCATATCCTGTCCTGCAACATGTGCGTGTTACATTCGCGGCAACGTTGTTTGGTCAAATCAGGCCATCCTGAGAAGAATAACAACGTGCCCGATTCACTCATGTGTAGTCAACGTTACCGGCAGGGACATGGTACTGCGGCCAATTTTTACTTACCCTTGATCTGCCGGGAATAACCCTTTTACTCAACGTCCGCCAACGTCTTGCCAATGAGGGAGATTTGAGCCACTGTTTACCCGCATAAAGGCAGCCACGCTGCCACGCATACTGATTTGTTGCGAGCCATGCACACAAATTCCAGGGTGAAGTAGTTGAAACGGCGCATAAATGTCGATCCTGAACCGCGATTGGGCCAGGCAGACATTTACACAGCTGAGGAATTGCAAGTACCAGAATTTGACGAAATCCTGCAAACCACCGAGGCACGTCGGATTGATACATCATCTCGGGATGATGTTGAACCTGTTTAGGGTGGCGTGTCAATGTGTGTACTAAATAAACATCCTGGCACCCTTGTCGCATTCCATCGCCACGTTGTTTCGCCGCAACGTCCAGTCAAACCGTTCACCGCCACGGCAAACGAGCAGGAGAGTGGAAGACATGCACTGCAGCCTGTAGGGACGGGCTTATTCGCACGACTCATTCATTGCCACTCCACTGAGACTGGCCATTACCAATTCAAAGTTGCCTTTATTCTCGGAGGGGGGCGACTTGATGCCCGCCGATTCAGCTGATGATGTATGCTTGAAAAGCAAAAGTCGTCTGCCTCTCCGACAAAGGAGGCCGCCTGGAGATGGCTCCGTGCTGCGTTTCGCCACTGGACCTCGCCGATGCATGACTGGGATCCGCGACCCTCTCTTTCCTCTGCACCTCGGCAGCTGTATATGTAAACCTACCCTTTTCCGCGTGGCTCTAATTACAGAAGAAAAGGGCTGACGTATTTCTGCTGCGGCGAGACACTAGGCCGCGACAACTCTTTATTTTTGACAGCCGTGTCATGCCGTCTCTCAACCGAAACTGTGCAGCAGACAACGGGTCAAGACAAATTCAAGAGCAAGCGTCGTGAACAAGTAGTAGACGAGTTGGCGGGCGCGGCGGCTATGTAGCAGCCCCTTCCGCAATCTTGATCTTCTGAGCGCCAACCAGGCATGGTTTGAGTCGGCGCGATGCGCGCAGCCATTCAGCTCTCAGCCGGGCCCGGAAAAGTAGGCGGAAAAGTCCGAAACCCGGAAATGTCCACACTTTCCGGGGGGGGAGGGGGGGGATGACAGAAGGCTGACAAGCCCATGAATAGGAGATGATATTATCAGACGCTCGCAGCCGTGGGATGTGGGATGTGGGAGAGGCGAGAGGAGAGAAGGAAAACGGGGCGCAGTGCCGGGCAGGCTGCAGGATACCGATACGAGATACGAGGTTTTTTTTTTTCTTCGTCTCTTTGCGCGCTCCCTTATGAGAGGCGCAGACAGAGCGCGATGCCGTCCACCGTCCTGGTTATTTACTGGTAAGCTGTCATTTCTTTTCGCCCGCGGGTTGCGATGCCGCTGTTCTTGTCTCGCGAGCAAATTGTTTTTCCTTTATTCGCATCTTGGCAGCAGACAAATAAAAAAGGCCAAGGCCGCACTATTGAAGCCCAACGGGCCTTTAGGGAGCCGCGATTGTCGAGCCAAGGCCGCCAGAGAGCCGGCTCTGCGCTGAGTTCGGTGTGGTTTGGGCTGCGGATGACACGGGAAAGCTGCCCAGTCAGAAGAAAGTGAAGAAAGAAAAGAGTGATGAAAAATTTCATGCACACGAGGCGGAAGATGTCATGGCCTTGCAGAACGCAGGCGGGAAAGAAAAAAAAGGTAGCATCAAGTTTCTCATCTCCTGTGCAGGTTACCTTAGGAACCTTGGCTCTACATGCGTGGCGGCAGAAGGTGCGTGAGGTGATGGGCAAGAAAACGCAGCAGACTTGGTCACTACGTCATGCGGTAGGCTGACGACCTGCACAGCCATGCGACGTGACATGGGTAGAGCCCTGGTGACGCGACTTGGCAAAATAGAATGTGGCAAAGATGAGAAAAGTCGGATCTTTTTCTAGAAGATGGGCAAGCAAAAGAATTTTTCTTTTTTCAAGTGACCAGGATTCACATGTCAAGGAGGTCAAGACACGAGGCGCCACCCAAGTGAGACATTGCCATACCGTTGTACCGGTAGTGAATTGCAGTGGCGGTGGTGGCTGAAGCTGAGGCTCGTAGATGATGACAGGGGGTTTGGACTACAGCTGCCAAAGTTGCGAGACAAAGGACCGTTTTTAGTTTACACAAGCATCGACAAGCAAGGAATTCTTCCAGAATCTCAGATGATAAACTTTCCATTGCCACAATTGTCCGAAAATCTGTATCAAGAGACTCTAGTTAGGCCTGCTTTTACGGGACGTTGGTGCCTAATTCTGCCAATCTATAGCGGCCCTTAGCGGGTAAAGCCTAGCCTACCTAGGTATTTACCTTGCCTTACCTACTAAGGTACAATGGGTGGGCCAGAAACTGGGTACTCCGTACCTGTTAGCAAACCATCAGCAATCCGCCATACATGACTGCTTGAAGGTACCTACAGATGCTGCCTGTTGTTGATTCAGGTGGGCTGCTCGTCATTCGCAAAAGGCAGCAAACGCGCCATCTTCACAGCCACGAGGCTGCATCACAACAACTCGTCAGCTTCGCCCAAACCTACCTACCTCTGTCCGCTTGTGATTCGCGTAATCCCATCTCTTCCGCTCCAAACGCCAGACATTGCCGCCTCTCTCCACGATCCCGCCGCCCGACTCTCGCGGCCGCTACTGTCCGTCTTCTAGCTTGCCCGCACGGCCCATGACAAAACTTGCAGCGAACTTGTCCTTGATCGTCCGCAGATAACCCCACTGCACGCACAACAGTTGCACGCCTCGGCACCCGCCCGCCCATCCGCGCCTAGCTCCTCTAGCTAAATTTAACAACCTTGTTACTTTGCTTCAATAAACACACCATCCGCATCATCCAGCCCGAGACCTACTGGTCAAATTGTCCGTCCGCTGAGACTTTAAAACAAACCGCACCGACTGCATCTGCGCCGACGCGCAACGCCACGGCCATGGATGCGTACGGCGTCCGACGCAAGGACACCACCAAAGGTCCGCCTCTGCGGATTCTTTCACTCGGTACGTCATCGACATCATGCAGCCCGAATCACTCTCCCTCGCTAACAAGCACAGACGGCGGCGGTGTTCGTGGCTACTCCATGCTCATCATTGTCCAGGAACTCATGCACCGCACCTTTGTCGAAGCTCATGGCCGCGCTCCGCGCCGCAGCGAAATCCCCAAGCCATGCGATCACTTTGACCTCATCGTCGGCACCGGAACGGGCGGTCTCATCGCCATTATGCTCGGCCGCCTCCGACTCGACCTCGAGACGTGCAAAGAGCTCTACGTCCGCATGACGCGCATGGTATTTCAGACTGACAAGACCATTGCCGGCATCCCATACCGATCCACCCTCTTCAAGGCCAGCAAGCTGGAAGAGGCCATCCGTCAAGCCGTCTGCGAGCACACCGTCAACGAACAAGAAGGAAACGATGGCGACGAACCCGTCAACCCCCTCTACTCGTCACGCCTCTCGACCAGCTCAAGCTCCTCTGTTCCTCAGCGACATCTCAGCAATGCCAGCACGGTCAGCTTCAGCGCGCGCAGTCCTACGGCGCAAGCCGCTGCGCGACCGTTCTTCAACTCTAGATATGGGAACGGCGATGCGCGACTATACGACGCGCGCGAGAATCGCACAAAAACGTGAGTATTCCCGATGCGCCAGTCTTGAGTTTTTTGCACACTGACACTAACACTACACAGCGCCGTAACAGCCATGTATAAAGACTCACCCAGCCACTCCGCTCCCGCCATCCTTCGATCCTACGACTCGCGCCGCGAACCTCCTCCCGATTTCGACTGTAAAATTTGGCAAGCTGGCCGTGCCACATGCGCCATCGGCCTCGCCTTCAAGCCCATCACGATTGGCCAGGCCACCTTTCACGACGACGGTGTCGGCACCTTTAACCCCGCCCCCGAGGCTCTCGACGAGGCCGTGGTCAACGAGTGGCCCGGCCGGGAGGTTGGCGTCTTTGTCAGCGTCGGCACCGGTAAGCGCCCGCGCGGCAGCGACGGAAACCAGGCAGTCTGGTACGAGGGCTTCCTCGGCGAGTTTGCCGAGGCGCGTCGTCGTCTCATCTCCAAAATTGAAGGATGCGAAAAGATTCACGAGTTTATGCTCCGCGAGCACCTCTCGCGGCGCAACGTGAACCCCGAAAACTACTTTCGCATGAATGTCGAGATTGGCGTGGGCGAGTTTGGCATGAATGAGTGGCATCGACTCGGCGACATTAGCACCGGCACGCGACGCTACATGGCGCGCGACGAAGAGCAGCGCATGATTCTCGGCATCTCCTCGCGGCTCGCCAAGGTGCACCGCGCGAGGCAGCGCCTCGAGCGACAGGCCAACACGATCCCCGAAGTAGTCAAGCAGCAGCCCTCGGCCAACTTTGACGTCCCCTTTGCCGTCGAGCTCCCCGGCGACACCCCTAGCGCGTTTCCGCCTTCGCCCCGGAGCGGTCTCTCGCAGACGTCGTTTGACTCGGGCCGCCCCGACAGCCTCACCGTTGGCAACAACCCGACGACGACGACGACAACATGGAGCGCAGCCTCCCCGCGAGGCTCCTACGACTACGCGCGACCCGGCGGCGCCGCGCCCTTCCCGCCCGGCACCGCCTCGCCTCCGCCGCCTCCATCGCGCGCCAGTAACCGCAACGGCAACGGCACACCGAGCAGCGACCCGGACCGGCTACTCGGAACGGCGCCCACACCGTCCCAGTTTCGAACTGCCTCGGGCGCGGACAAGATTGCCATAATGAGCCCAGACGAGCACGCGCGGCCGCTGCCGCCGGCACCGCAGTCACCGCCACCATCTACGCGCATCGAGCCCCCGCCACTGCCGCCCAAGACGCCGCTGCCGGGACACAGGGTCAGCAGCAGCCACGCGAGCAACGGGCATGCGCCGCCGTATCCGATGGATGATGAGGAAGCGCCCCCGCCGCCGGTCAATATGGCGCGGAAACCGGATTATCGAGGTTGAAAGAGAGGGCGAGTTGACTTGTTGAGTTTGTTGTTGTATATAACGAGAAATGGTTGGAAATGAGAATGAGGAGGCACAGGCTCGAAATACCCCTTGTCTTTTGTTGTTGCCGCTGTTGGTTACTTCTTTTGATATGTATACATGCACTTGAACTGGGCAATGGGATGCTTGAGTATTCGATATACTGGCGGGCCAAGGCTTTTGGTCCTGACGAGTAACATAATAAACGTGATTCATGATGAACCAATTCTCTGTACATTTCTGTGCTGTATCGACGAGGCCGGCTCACCCCATAGTAAATATGCTAAAGACGCCACGAAACGCGTCGGCAGTGTACCACTGTCACCTAATTCAAACTCCGTTAGCACGTCCGCAATTCTGAAGCCATGCCTAACTTGTTTTTTCCTGTAGTTGGCGGGCTTTGCTCTGGCGCCTCCAGTTATTGTCTCAAGCCGCCTCGTCCGTCACAGGCTGGCCCGTCACAGGTTGACGGCCTTTGACCTCATCATGGCCGAAGACGACGATCCGTACGTGACAGAAATCCGCGCCACCCCAGGCCTGTCAGCGCTTCATCGGTGCCGTGGAGATTGAGAATGCCCGACGCCAGTGGGCCATGAGTTGCCAAGGACGGGGTCTCGTATTTGCAGTTGGCGATGGCCATATAAGGAAGCCTCTGGAGGTGATGCGAAGCGAGGCAAGATTGGCGCCTTTGTCATACTTGGGCTCTCCCCTCAGCAAAAAAGAGCCGGCGGAATTGACGTTGAAATCGGCTCAGTACCCCCGTTCTGGGTCGCTGCGAGTTTGTGTGCGTCCTTGTCGGGTTTCATTTGACCCTGACGCTTGGGTGCCTACTGTCGACCAAGACACCATCTCCGAGGAGAACGAGAGAGCTCCTGTGCGTACCTAGAGACGGCCCAGGGGTGGAATACGACGCAGCTCGGCATAGGAATAGAGGGCTTCTAACACGCGCTGAGGCGGTCGTTGTGAGAGATGTGGCCGTGAAGCAGTAAGAAGACGACATTGACTGGGTAGTCTGTACAATACGAGCAATTAAAAAATTACCCCAAGTAATATTTGAGTTGCGTAGTTTGCTCATCATTCAGATGCTTGTTGTATATGTTTGTGTGATTCAATGATAGCTATGCGACATGTTTTCTGAATTTGAGTTGAAAGAGCGTATTCTGAACAAACATACAATTGTACTTGTGATAGTAGTGAACATGCTTTACAGTGACTTGACTGAGTTTTTTTCTCTCAAAAGAGCATAGGCTGCGAGACTTGGAGGAGCACTTGTGGCAGCTCCATATTGCAGAGTTGGATGCTTTGGAAGATGTCTACACAACTGCACCGAGAGAGAGTCTCAATTATGACGAGGCAGAGCGCGGAACATGGGCAGCATGCTGCAGCAAGATTCACGACAATGTTACCCAGGAGGGTGCTTTGCTGCGTCGCGCATGCCACTGACGACGAGAGAATTTTGAGCTTTGATGGGTTCCCTAGCAGCAGACGATTCATAGCAAAGAAACAACGACGCTGTGGAGTCGTGGTGCAATGCCGGCCAAATACCCGAGCAAGCAGCTTGCGTCTTGTTCTTCCTCATAGCAAAGTCCTCCTTCTTTTTTTTTTTTCTTTTTTT